TTCTTCATCTGTGAGTAGATTGTCCAACATCCACTGGCATGTTGGGGATTAAATATTATATAGCCTTCCTTTGTTTCTATCGAAATATTCCGTATTCTTAATTGTGAAATTAATTTTAGATATCAAAAAGCTTAAAATTATTAAGAGGGTTGATTATTGGTTGTTTTATTTGTTTCTTTTTACAGCTTATCACCTTTTTGTGGGTTATTTAAAGCCTAAAAATATTCCTAGATTATAGGAATAGTCCTTTTTTCGCGAGTAAATATTGAAATCATAAAATGATATTTCCACAACAACCAAGGCTATGAAGACTCAGTCTACTCTACTATTTACCCATAACTGGAGGAAAAAAGAGATGAATTCACGCCTTTCCTAACGGTGTTTGGTCGTAAGTGAATTTAACGAAATCGATTAGAATATCTAAATCGGATCTATGAATTCCCATTCCAAGGCGCTATTCATTACACTACGGATAGGCCGGTACAATAAGCATTTTTGTTTACGAGTAACTGTTGCATTATCAATGATTTTTCAGATACAAATCTTAATATTTAACACATATCTGGGAAGAGAATTGATGTATTCATATTTTCCCAAGTGTATTTGCACGCAAGTGAATCTAACGAAATCGACTGGAATTCGAACTCGGCTCTCTTAGTTGCTACCCATTGCACCGCCCGCATATCCACTTATTAAAAAGGAGGAGAATCGAAGAATACGCCGTAGAACAATTGGGGTATTGCGTTGTATTACTGCTGCTTCTTTAAATGTTCTTGGGAAGGCATCGTTCAATATAGGACGTAAGTGTAGGCTTCATTGTATATATATATATATATATATATATATATATATATATATATATATATATATATATATATATATATATATATATATATATATATATATATATACAGGTAGTAATACGTTGTTATAATCGAAGCGAGTCCTGTTAACACAATATAGAATTTGACTGCAATAGACGTCTCTTTGTCCCCGTCCGTAACGAGTGTAAGCGTGTCCTCAATGAAGCAAAGTCACTATTTGCTGCTCGAATGAAAGAACGTATAGATCTGAACAGAATGAGATAGATAGATAGATAGATAGATAGATAGATAGATATGGAAGGAATAAGATACACAGATGGATAGATCTGAACAGAATGAAATAGATAGATAGATATGAAAGGACTAAGATACATAGATAGATTTGATCAGAATGAGATACATAGATATACATATATATATATATATATAGATAGATAGATATGAAAAGACTGAGATATATACTCATTCTTGCTATTCACACAATTCCAGTACTACATCACCTGGCTTCTTCAGCGGTCACCTATCTAAAAACTGAACAGGATCAGTGTTACCTAACTGCGGACATATATATATATATATATATATATATAAATGAATTACTTAATTATAATTATCAAATCCTCCTAATAATTTTTATAACTTGTATATCATTGCTTGAACCGGCGTTAAATACTCTGGATGGAGCGGCTTGGGGATAGTAGTCGTGGCTCGTTGGGGCCACAGTCCTATGTGTAAAAGAGAAACTCGGACGAGTTCCACCATGGAATATGTGAGCGCGCGGCGCTATATTGACTCTGATTTGCAATCTCTTCGTCACCAAGGCCCGTTGGAACTGCTGGTATGAAGTTTGCATGATAACGTAACTGTCCGGGTTTCAATTCTCGGTAGTGGATGTAGTAATACTGTTATATTCGAAGCGAGTCCTGTTAACACAACATAGAATGTGACTACAATAGCTTTGTCTCTGCCCGTAACGAATGTAAGCGTGTCCTCAATGAAGCAAAGTCGCTATTTGCTGCTCGAATGAAAGAACGTATTGCACTTCGCAAATTTGGCTCCAAGGATTATTGACGTCACTGCAACAGCGTACTTAACAATAGCAAACCCCCCATACCTCCTTTGTTCAACCAATTTGAGGTTCTGACCTCTTCTGTCGACAAGGCTGAATGCTTTGCTCGGAAATTCTCATTCAATTCAACGCTCGACTCTTCTGGGGTACCCACACCTGATTTCTCCCTTAGAACTGATGCTCTATTGAGCAAGTTGCACATAACCCGTCATCAGTATTGGGCATTATCTCTAAGTTAAACCCCTAGTGGTGGAGGCGGGATACCAGCCATAGTCCTGAAGAAATCTGCGCCTGAACTGGCCCCTGCCCTCTCCAAGTTACATAACTACTGCCTCAATGAATCTTGTTTTCCATCCTGTTGGAAGTCCTCATCCATTTTTCCTATCTTTAAAAACTCTGGAGACCCTTCTGACCTTTCTAATTACCGTCTTATCAGTCTCCTATCATTCCTCGGAAAAGTTTTCGAAGCTTTAATCAACGCTGAAGTGGTTAAGCACCTTACATCCCATAATCTGCTCTCCGACAAGAAATATGGTTTCCGCTTTGCCCGTTCTACAGCTGATGTGCTTACGACCATAACTGAAATTGTTTACCAAGCACTTAATAATAATGGAGAAGCTTGTGCCATGGCTTTAGATATCTCGAAAGAGTTTGATAGGGTTTGGCATGCCGGCCTTCTTCGCAAGCTTCAGGGTTATTCAATTTCAGGTCGATTGTTTGACTTAATACAATCATTCCTGTCAAACTGTGTATTGAAGGTCGTTCTCATTGGATTCTCATCCAGCTCCTATCCCACGAACGCAGGTGTTCCTCAAGGCTCTATCCTAGGTCCTACTCTGTTCCTTATCTCCATTAACGATCTTCCTGATGTCATAGGTTCCCAAGTAGGCATCTATGCGGACGACACTACTATTTACTCCTTCCTCAAAAACAAATATAGTGCTGCTGACAAAACTAACCTGGCCGTTTGTCTCGAAAAGGACCTCCAATCGGTTGTGGACTGAGGCAGGAATTGGCTGGTTAACTTTAACGCCTCTAAAACAAAACTGCTCTCTGTTAATCACCACAGAGATCCTTCCCTGCCTCCCATTAGAATGTCTGGCGGTCAACATCACGAGAGCACCTCTTTGTGACTGCTCGGTCTCACATTGTCTGCTGATGGAACAAATACATTAAGTCAATAGCTTCGTTCATATATGGTCTGGAGCCCCTTCTAATTGTCTCAAGGTCCTTGATTAAATCCAGAGACGGATATGCAATGTAATTGGCCCCGATCTGGCATCTCGTCTACAGTCGCTCTCTCACATACGTGCCGCCGCCTCCCTCTGTCTTTTTTACAAATACTTTCATGGTAACTGCTCCGATGAGCTACTTTTGTTGGCTCCCAGACTTCATGAATTTAAGCGTTCAACTAGGCTGGCATCTCGCTCTCACCCTTCCAGTGTCGAAACTGTTAATAGTAGCCGTCTCTTCTACTCCAATAGCTTCATGTCTCTTACTTCTCGCCCGTGGAACTTCCTCCCCTTTTCTTGTTTCCCTGATAGCTATAATCTCCCACTATTCAAATGTAATATCAATCAACGTCTCCAGATGCCTTGATCTATCCCCTATCCTTCTCTTCATCCTTTCCTCTATCACTCCTCTTTGCTCTCACTCCAACTCTCTGTAACCCCTTGCGTGCTAGTGGCTACCCGCCTTACTTGGCGTGAAACGCTTAAAAAAATATGTTAAAACTGACTCACAAACGAGCCCTCAATGTTTATTTTCAATAATCAGAGTAAATCTTTTTTACAACTAGAATTAATATATATATATATATATAAATATGTACTTTATATATATATACACACATACATACACATTTTTTTATTTCATGGGTGACAAAACAGGGGACAATTTCTAAGATAAAATTAATGCTACATTCTTCTTTTGATTTTATCAAGAATCTCTAAATATATAGCAGAAGCACCAGACCAGATATAGCAGCAATATTCAAAGCAAAGATGAATGGTAGACTTATAAATATGTAAGATAGATTCTTCTTTGGATTTTATCAAGAATTTCTAAATATATAGCAGAAGCACCAGACCAGATATGGCAGCAATATTCAAAGCAAGGATGAATGGTAGACTTATAAATATGTAAGATAGATTCTTCTTTTGATTTTATCAAGAATCTCTAAATATATAGCAGAAATGGTAAACTAATAAATATGTAAGATGGATTCCAGACCAGATGTGGCAGCAATATTCAAAGCAAGGATGAATGGTACGCTCTCCCAACAATCTCATTCAGTAACCCTCTATCTTGAGTGGCTCATTCGCCTTACAATAAGCGCCTAGTAAAGATAGTTGTTTGGGGAGGAATGTTAAACTTCGTCGGTAGAACCATGTTTGTCGTTTCAAATCTTACGAGCATGTACTAATTTACAAATCTACACTGTCTATAAAAATAGAAAAGTAGACCGTGAAAATGATGAGCATAACAGACATTTCATTTATAATCTATATTTTTCGCTTTCTGGTTTGTTATTCATTTTGGACGCAAACATTTATCTCTTCTGTACTTCCGTACACACTTGGATAGGAAATGTTCCAAAAAATCTATCCACAGTCTTTGACCTTTTTGGCATAAAATTCTGCCCCACCATAAATTACGACATTGACATTCATTTATGGCATCTGAATAGCTTTTACCATTGCCACGTCTCGACCCCTAATCGATCGTTCAGCCATCACGACAGTCACGACCAATGGACAGCAAAAGGGCTTTATTTCGTCCTAAAGACACCCAACTCCTTGAAATGTTTTTACTACCCTGGTTCTTTGGACGCCGGTTCCCATCCTGTCGGAAAACAATTATCTAAGATGAAAAAAGGTTTGATTGGCCTCATTGGCATTTCAGTATTAAGATGTCGGTTTTTTTTTTTTTGGCAGTTCCTAATGAATAAGACACTTGAGGAAAATGAGATGACTGGGTTATTCATGACAAGGATTGTTTTAGTTAGAATGCCATTTTGGTGAAAGTGATGTTAACTCATCTGCCGAATTGAGCAGACTAACGGTTGTAAAATCGGCGCTCAGAAATAAAGAACTTGAACTTGACTGATGCCATTTTTATCGTCATCTGTTCATCCATACCTGTATTCATTCTCTGAGTTCTGTGATAGTAAAATTCTCCAAGACCGCTTTCTTCATTATTCTTTCTTTCCTTGTTTTTCTTCGATGCATTCAGTCGCGCTTTTCTTCTTTCTTTCTTTCTTTCTTTCTTTCTTTCTTTCTTTCTTTCAGTTTTATGTTTTTCTTTTTTTGTATTCAGTATCAATCTTCTTCCTTTCTGTCTTTCTTTCTTTATTTTTGCAGACAGTCTTAAGTTTTATACTTACTTTCTTATTTTTTTCTTTCTGTCTCTCATTTGCATTCAGTCTTAAGCTTCTTTCTTTCTTTCTTTCGCATTCAGTCTTAAGCTTCTTTCTTTCTTTCTTTCGCATTCAGTCTTAAGCTTCTTTCTTTCTTTCTTTCGCATTCAGTCTTAAGCTTCTTTCTTTCTTTCTTTCATTCGCATTCACTCTTAAGCTTCTTTTTTCGCATTCACTCTTAAGCTTCTTTCTTTCGCATTCAGTCTTAATCTTGCTTCTTTCTTTCTTCCTTTCTTTCTTTTTGTCTTTCCTTCTTTCTTTCTTTCTTTCTTTCTTTCGCATTCAGTCTTAAGCTTCTTTCTTTCTTTCTTTCTTTCGCATTCAGTCTTAAGCTTCTTTCTTTCTTTCGCATTCAGTCTTAAGCTTCTTTCTTTCTTTCTTTCTTTCGCATTCAGTCTTGAGCTTCTGTCTTTCTTTAGCATTCTTTCTTTCTTTCATTCGCATTTAGTCTTAAGCTTCTTTTTTCGCATTCACTCTTGAGCTTCTTTCTTTCGCATTCAGTCTTAATCTTGCTTCTTTCTTTCTTTCTTTCTTTCTTTCTTTCCCATTCAGTCTTAGACTTCTTTCTTTCTTTCCCATTCAGTCTTAGACTTCTTTCTTTCTTTCGCATTCAGTCTTAAGCTTCTTTCTTTCTTTCGCATTCAGTCTTAAGTTTCTTTCTTTCGCATTCAGTCTTAAGCTTCTTTCTTTCGCATTCAGTCTTAAGCTTCTTTCCTTCTTTCGCATTCAGTCTTGAGCTTCTTTCTTTCTTTAGCATTCTTTCTTTCTTTCATTCGCATTTAGTCTTAAGCTTCTTTTTTCGCATTCAGTCTTGGCACAAGACGTGGCACAAATAATAATAATAATAATAATAATAATACTGATGATGGTGATAGTGATGATTATGATAATAATAATAACGATGATGATGATGGTGATAGTGATGATTATGATAATAATGATGATGATGATGGTGATCGTGATGATTATGATAATAATAATGATGATGATAGTGATGATTATGATAATAATGATGATGATGATGATAGTGATAATAATAATAAAGATGATGATGATTATGATAGTGATGATTATGATAATAATGATGATGATGATGATAGTGATGATTATGATAATAATGATGATGATGATGATAGTGATGATTATGATAATAATGATGATGATGATGATAGTGATGATTATGATAATAATGATTTTGATGATGGTGATCGTGATGATTATGATAATAATAATAATGATAGTGATGATTATGATAATAATAATAATAATGATGATGATAGTGATGATAATGATAATAATGATGTTGATGGTGATAGTGAGGATTATGATAATAATAATGATGATGATGATAGTGATGATTGTGATAATAAAAATGATGATTATGATAATAATAATGATGATTATGATGATGATAGTGATGATAATGATAATAATAATCTATAAAACAAATTTCGAACAAGACTGTAAAGGTGAATGGTAAACTGTGAATTGTAATCAGTCACTGGTAACTAGCGGATGGTAACCAGTGAATGGTCACGGTGCGTGTTTTTCTGAAACAGGCCCCACCCAGAATTTAACTTCATCCTTGGCATTATTTTGTATTTTTTAATCGAATTTACTCCCCCCCCCCAAAGTGTCACAAGGTCAGAAATGGGGAATGGGATAAAAGGGAAGGTCTTTTTTTTTGTCTTAACTTTCAAAACAAACACTGACCCAAACATACCACAATATTCCTAACAAGAAAACAACACATTCTTACTTACTTTTTTTACAACATCCACCATAATACCACATTGTCTCTATGAAAAAACTAACTAGTCCCTATATGTACAATTCATATGTACCATAGTGAAAAACTCATCCAATAAAATGTTATGAAAGTATTTATAGAAAAGGCAGAGGGAAGCAGCTCTATGGCGGTTCGGAAAGTGACTTAAGCCGAGATGCCAGGAGCAGTAATATTACGGATTCTTTTTTGGATTTTGTCAGGAGTCTCTAAATATACAGCAGGGGCACCAGACCATATGTGGTAGTAAAATTCAAAGTATGGACGAATAGTAGACTTATCAATATTTAAGATAAATTTAAGGGAAAGAACAGCATTCCTAGCAACTGACCTAGCAATAGATTCAATATAATCTTTCCACTTTATGTCTGACGAGAATGCAAGACCGAGAACGAGCAACGAGCCACGTGCAAGAAAAATTGGTTCTTTGTGTCGCGCCATAAGTCCGTCTTTCAAAGCTAGAAATCAACCATTCGTCCTTGCATGGAATACTGCTGCCATATACGGTCTGGTACTCTTGCTGTTCCTCTCGAGGTCCTCGAAAAAATCCAGAGACGGATATGCAACATGATTGGTCCTAATCTAGCATCCCATCTACAATCACTTTCTCACAGACGTGCTGTGGCTTCCTTCTGTCTTTTCTACAAGTACTTTCATGGCAACTGCTCTCATGAGCTACTCCCACTGGTTCCCAAACTGCATGAATTTAAGCGTGCTACTAGTCCTCTTACTTGCTTCCCTGATAGCTATAATCTTCAAATATTCAAATGTAATGTCAATCAACATCTGATGCTTTGACCTTGGTCACCGTCCTGTTGAAATTTTTAGGTACCCTGGTGTACTAGTGAGCCAGCCAAAATGAGCTGACTCATTTTATAGTTCACCAAAAGAAGGGTTAACCAATCAGAAGGCTCAAAATATTCAATGCGACGTGTATAAAGGCAGCCATGTTTTTTTATCGAAGACTGAAGAATTACGGAATAGCTGCTGGTGGTATTGGCGATATAGTCAGATTCAGTAGAGTGTCTCACTCGTGAGTGTTAATCTTTAACGTTGTTTTATTGAACAGATTACGTACTGCGCTGTATTCTATATTCATAGACTATGGTGAAGATGGTCAACACGTCCTTCTCTTCATCCTTTTCCCAAACACTCCTCTTTACTCTTACTTTCACTCACTGTAACCCCTTGAGTTCTAGTGGCACTTCCGCCTTGCTTGGGGTGATTTGCTTAAAAAAAAAAGTATTTAAGACGGTGGCAGCAATATTCTAAGTTTTTTTGAATGGTAGACTTAGAGAAAGTAAGATAGGATCTGGAGACAACAATTGTCTAGCAGGACACTGAATCAACTTTGAACTGTTCGTTCGTTATCTAATTTATACTATCATAAATTTTATTTTATATATTTTATTTCAAGAAGTGCACACCAACACAATCGGGGAATGCGAAAAGGCATATGGCCGTGAAAGATCTGAGAAACTCTGTTCTAGGCTGTAAAGACATTTCTGAGTCGTCATCGCGTGGCATGTTCGAGAAATCGCTCAAGAGATATAAAGAATTCTTTTCCCTTTTGACCATCCGTAATATATCGAGAACACCAGCTTGCAAGTAAAAAAATTCGAAATGAGATGATTATTTCGAGAAATAAATGCCTATTAACGCAGTTGACATTTTTAGACGTTTTTTTCTTTTTTTTTCTCTGTTCCTTTGTTTTCGTTCATTTATTTTTCTCTTTATTCGTTGTCCATCAAAGTCGATTGGCGGTCAAGAAAAATCAACCGTGTAAGTTAGTCACGAGGTCAAAAAAGAACGTCAATCATTCTTTTTGTTTCTTTAGCTTTTTTTTTTTTTAGTCGGGGGAAACGCTAGTGGGAACTCGAACAAGCTGTGACATGAAAAGAAGAAACGGAACAACGAAATCGTCTCTTCAGGTTTTGGCGAGGAAAGACACTGAATGGCCAAAGCTGACGTGCCATCTTCTGAGCACATCAACGTGCTTCGCAATGAAAAAAACAGCAGTGGTAAAGAAAAGGTGTGGTCAGCGGGTGGGGATAGAACTGAGGGTCAGATTAATGCTGGAAAATTCCCAAATTCGATAAAACTGGTGATTTCTAATGAAGTCGAAAGCGTCCATCCGGAGACGTGTTTCAAGACCACCTAACTTAAACCAGTGCCGTTAGCGAAGAGATGTCATTAATGTCGGGGGAAGTTTAGATTGTTAGAGAAGGTCAAAGCTTATGATCCGGAGGTCAGGGAATTTAAGGGATTAGATGCGGGTGATCTTAGTACGGGATCTCAGGGTTGGTAGAGAGAGACAGAGAGACTTACATTTAGAATTGGTGTGAAACTGGTAAAAAAAAAAGTTCGTCCGGCAGGAATGGCGCTGAAGAATGAGGAAGAGGAATCGACAGTGAAGAATCGAAGAATAAAACGAATAGAAGAATTGAAAAAGAATCGAAGAATAAAACGAATAGAAGAATTGAAAAAGAATCGAAGAAGAGAAATCAAAGAATCAAAAAAGTCGAGTCGAAGATCAAAGCAGCATAAAAATTAAAGAAATAAGAAAGAATTCCTTCCTTCCTTCCTTTTGTTCTTTCTTGTCATATTTCATTATTTTCCTTCATGTTAGTTTTATTCATTCTTCCTGGTGGATCATTCAGACTATCAGCCTTTCTTTCTTTCTTTCTTTCTTTCTTTCTTTCTTTCTTTCTTTCTTTCGCTCTTTCTTTCTTTCTTTCGCTCTTTCTTTCGCTCTTTCTTTCGCTCTTTCTTTCTTTCTTTCTTTCTTTCATTCTTTCTTTCTTTCATTCGCTCTTTCTTTCTTTATTTCTTTCTTTCGCTCTTTCGCTCTTTCTTTCTTTCTTTCTTTCTTTCTTTCGCTCTTTCTTTCGCTCTTTCTTTCTTTCTTTCATTCTTTCTTTCTTTCTTTCTTTCTTTCGCTCTTTCTTTCGCTCTTTCTTTCTTTATTTTTATTTCCCTATTTTTTCTTTATTGTGAATTAAGTCCGATGCTTTTCTTTTGATCTTTCTTTCTTTTTTAGTTCTTAAGCATTTTTCTACATTTTGTTTGTTTTTGCTTTTTTTGTTTCTTTCAATCTTCCTTCCTTCCTTTCTTTCTTTCATTTTTCTTCGTTGCTTTCTTTCCTTCTTTTCTTCGTTTCTGCTTTCCTTCAGTTCTTTCTTTCTTTCTTTCTTTTATTTCGTTATTGACCTTAATCTTAGTTTTATTCTTTCTCTTTGGGGGAATCACTCAGACTTTCTTTCGTCATTTTTTTCTTTTTCTATTTCCTTATTTCTTTCTTTCATATGAATACCGTCCGAAGTTTTCTTTCTTTCGTTCTTTCTTTCTTTCTTTCTTATTTTTTATTCTTTCTTTCTTTCTTTCTTCCTTTCTTTCTTTCTTTTTTCTTTCTTTCTTTCATATTTTTCTTTTTCTTATTCCCTTTCTTTCATTTTTCTTTCTTTCTTTGCTTATTTCTTTCTTTCTCGCCTTTTTTTCATCCACTTGTGAAGAACTATTTTAACGCGAGTCATCATGTGAAACGATACTGAATGGGAAATAAATAAATGAATAGATGAATAATTAAATAAATAAATAAGTCACAAAAAATGCCCTGATGTCCAGATGAGGTTCTGAGTCGGGTCATTCTTATGTGATGCATGTCAAGCCTCCACGTGTAGACAAATCGCAAAAGTCTAGAATTAACCAAATGAATGCCCGAGTCAAAATGAACTCAAAAAAAGCAAAAAACAAAAATAAATAAACAAATAAAACTACCCATGCGCCTGCGCATGCGTGGACACGTACTTAAAAAAATATACAGAAAAAAAATAACGAAATCTAATTGTCTCCCTTGCGTTCGGCTTCAGCGAAAGCTGACTTGTTCTCTCCCATTGGTCAGCTGACATTTCCGTCGGGCGTAATATAAGAACAGATACGTCGTTCAAAGAAAGAAAGAAAGAAAGAAAGAAAGAAAGAAAGAAAGAAAGAAAGAAAGCCTGAGTTGTCCACCAAAGAGAAAAAATAAAACTAAGATTAAGCTCAATAACAAAATAAAAGAAAGAAAGAAAGAAAGAAAGAAAGAAAGAAAGAAAGAAAGAAAGAAAGAAAGAAAGAACGAACGAACGAACGAAAGAAAGAAAACTTCGGACGGTATTCATATGAAATAAATAAATAAATAAGGAAATAAAAAAGAAATAAATAAATAAAGAAAGAAAGAAAGAAAAAAAAAAAAAAAAAAGAACGAACGAAAGAAAGAAAACTTCGGACGTTATTCCTATGAAAGAAAGAAATAAGGGAATAAAAAAATAAAGAAAAAACGAAATAAAAGAAAGAAAGAAAGAAAGCCTGAGTGATCCACCAAAGAGAAAGAATAAAATTAATATATATATATATATATATATATATGTATTGTTTATACGTTATTTTTTTTACTAAAAAACAGAACTTTAAACAGAAAATAAATAAATAATAATAATAATAATAATAATACTAATAATAAATACTTGTCGGAATTAATCCATTTCATTATATATATATGTGTGTGTGTGTGTGTGTGTGTGTGTTTGTTTGTGCATGTGTGTGCGATTTTTTTTTACGTCCCTGTGTCTTTTATATAAGTACTTTCATGCTAATTGTCCTCTATCCTTAATAGGAGTCAAGTGGTTAGAACTTTCGCTTTCATACCGTTGATCACGCTAGTTAACGCTATCTCAACCAGAGACTGTAACTAAGATCCGCTCAGCACAGTTGCAATATAAACCGCAGATGCTCTCTCTGGGTATTGAACAAACACAAATATCTAACAGAGATTAGATATCTACACAGTAGACGGTCATCCTAGGATACGAGTGGTCAGACATCCTCCTTAATAGTATTTTTCTCACATCCGCTAACATTAAGTAACATCTTATCTCCTTGTGACCTTATTGACTTACTTGCCTGAAATGATTTAAAAAAAAAACTTATCACTATTTACATTGGTCAGACTGTTGATTTTATTGTCATATTCACAACGTTTCAGCCGTTGTACCTGTTATGGTCCAGGTTAGGACCAAGGAAGAACAACACGAACACAAGTGTAGAAATAATAAATGTATATTACACGAAATAATAATACAAGATGTGGAAGGTGTTAGTATGACTGTCAGTCTGATTTGGAGTGAGCTACTATCGGATCGACTCGATTCGGTATCTAGCCACGAGGGTTGCATGTGGCACAAGGCCGAGTTTAACGTCGGTTTCCCGAGCACGTAGGCTCGGTCAAAAAACGCCCGTAGAACCCGTATAAACGAGATCGGGTTGGTCAACCAACCCCGAACGAGACTCTGCCTTTCGGCGGAGCCTTGTCCGTGTCCGTGTCCGTGCTCAGAGGCAGAGAGTTCGACTGTCAAGCCGAGAAGCTTCGGTATTTATCCACTCCTCCCACGAGGGTTGCTTGTGGCACAAGGCCGAGTTTAACGTCGGTTTCCCGAGCACGTAGGCTCGGTCAAAAAACGCCCGTAGAACCCGTATAAACGGGATCGTGTTGGTCAACCTCCCCGAACGAGACTCAGAGGCAGAGAGTTCGACCGTCAAACCGAGAAGCTGGGTTTGATTCGACCCTCTCTCTTGAGAGGCGTAGTATACATAGTGTTAGGAAAAGTTAATTCTGTAGTTATAGGTAAAGACCCATGACAAGTACCCTTCTTCAGGTGATTGGAGTTTCGAGCCAAACTCTTTATTTCATCCATCGGGGGTAGTTTGTTCTAGTTCCACGTGTCATGACTCTTCCGGATGACTCGGTTTCAGTTATTTCCCGTAACTCTCCAAGGGCACATGGACACATTAGATAAAAACGTTAGTTAGATCCAGTGACAGGACCCAAACAGTGTGAGTTCAATACCCGGTTAAGACAGTAGAGAACCCGGAGAGGGGAATTAACAGGAGATAACTGATAACTGACATCCATTAAACATGGTGCGTAGAACTCAAGCAGTCTACCCCAGTGAGCGAAATAAAGGGTTCCGTTCGACATTCCAACCACCTGAAGAAGGCCGGAGAGTACAACGGCCGAAACGTTGTAATAAATATGGCGACAAAGACGAGGACACAGGCGAGCGAATGACACGGAATGCTGAGAAATTTTATATGCAATGCTTTAGTCCACTAGTCCCCTGGGACAATTCTCTGTTGAGAACTTGGAGTCTTAAACCTAACCTGCCTGCTACCGGGTGTTCCCGATGGTCATGCTTGATTGAACTCGCCGAAGCATTCTTTTTTTTTTTTTTTTTTTACAGCTGTTGTCATTTGTCTTTCTTTATTAAAGGTCCCTATATCGTATTTATTTCTATGCTTGGGCTACGAAATAGGTCCTTATAGCCCAGTATACGCTCTGATTTTTTCAGTCGTTTAACTCTTCAGTGTTGTTCTTTGTCCATTATTTTCACTTCATTCCACAGGGGCTGGTCATTACCCTTTTATTGGACTCTTCCACACCTATATGGCTACCAACTCTGAGTAAAGGGAGTCAACAAGTGAGGGTAACCGAGTGAGTGAATGAGTGTGTCAGGACACCAGTGAGAGAAAGTACTCTCCAGTCCACATTTATCTTTGTACTACGCTTCCGAGAATATACTATATAATCTTATATCCGAGTCCGTGTTATCTTTCTATGGTTCCACACCACAACACCTTTTTCCTACATACATGATCAGCCATGCCTGGTTTCATTGTCTCTCTTCTCACTCCGGCTTTTTGATGTTCATCCAGCCTTACTTAACAGCTCAAATTCTGTTTCGTTGTCTCTTCTGTTCGTTTAAGCGACCTGTTTTCCCTTTCTGTCCGAGATCATATTCTAAAATTTATTTTTCGTTTTTTTTATTTATTTTTGTTTTGTTCTTCTCTCCTAGTTCCTTTATTTATCATTTCTGCTCATCTCCTTTTCTGTAATTGTAATTATTTTTGCTGTCGTTAGCGATGTAACGATTTTCATTTTCGCGCGCTTTATCTTGCGAAAAGCGCGGGAAATCACTTAACGTACTTCATTTGCAATTTGGCGGCCATTCTTCTCGCCCTATTTGGTTACAAGTTAATTTCTTCTTTTCTCGTTCACTTGCCAGCGATTGTATTTCCCGCGTGTCTCACAGCTAATAAAACGCAAAGCGACGTACAGTTTTATTTATCTTTTTAATTTCTTCCTTGACATTTTTTTTTAATCTTTCTTATTTTAAAGAACGCCATAAAAAACAGAAAGGAAACTATTTTCACCGCCTTGAATAACCGGAAAGAACACTACTCATCTAATAAATCCCGCTTGACATTCTTTAAAATAAACAGACGGAAAAAAATGTAAAAAGAAAAGTTTGATCGCGAAACTGTCTTAATAATCTCTGAAAGAAATACATTTACTTTAATTTTTATCGCATGTTAAAATGATATCCAGCGTCGTATAGTCAGATTCATCATTTGCACTTAAGCATTGTTGCCCTTAACCCATTCCTCTTCAATTATTCAGACTTTCAGGTTATTAACACCTTCCTTGCCAATTATTCGGACATTCAGATTGTTAACCCCTCCCGCCAATTAACTGGACGCTCGGATCGTTAATCACTACCCCTCAAATAACTCGGACGTTCGGATTGTTGACCTTTTATCCCCGCAATTATTCGGACGTTCGGATTATTAACCCCTTCCTCGCCAATTATTCGGACGTTCGGATTGGTAACTTCTCGGCCGCCAATTATTCAGACGTTCGGATTGTTAACCACCTCCCAACCAATTACTCAGACGTTCGGATTGTTAAGCTCTTCCTCGCCAATTATTCGGATGTTCGGATTGGTAACTTCTCGGTCGCCAATTATTCAGACGTTCGGATTGTTAACCATCTCCCAGCCAATTACTCAGACGTTCGGATTGTTAAGCTCTTCCTCGCCAATTATTCGGACGTTCGGATTGGTAACTTCTCGGCCGCCAATTATTCAGACGTTAGGATTGTTAACCACCTCCCAGCCAATTACTCAGACATTCGGATTGTTAACATCTAACCCAACAATTATTCGGACGTTCGGATTGTTAAGCTCTTCCTCGCCAATTATTCGGGCGTTTGGATTGGTAACTTCTATGCTAGCCAATTATTTGGACGTTCGGATTGATAACCACTTCCCCGTCAATTATTCGGACGTTTGGATTGGTAACCTCTAACCCATCAATTATTCGAACGTTTGGATTGTTAACCCCTTCCCCGCCAATTAATTGGACGTTTGGATTGTTGACCACTTATCCCGACAATTATTCGGACGTTCGGATTGTTAACCATTAACCAGACAATTAATTGGACGTTCGGATTGTTAAACCATTCCCCGCCAATTAATCTGACGTTCGGATTTGTAACTTCTATGCCGCCAATTATTCCGACGTTTGGATTAATAACCTCTTCCCCGTCAATTATTCGGACGTTCGGATTGTTAACCTTTAACCCGACAATTAATTGGACGTTCGGATTATTGACCACTTATCCCGTCAATTATTCGGACGTTCGGATTGTTAACCTTTAACCCGCCAATTAATTGGA